AAATTTGTGAAATCATGTTTAAACCACGAAAAGTTACTTTTTTTTGGGTGAACCTTTATTTTAAGAGCCTTATTTAGCATTTATAAGTGTATAACAAAGTAAATAAATAGTTTATATCCCACTATAATGGATTTGTAATCACATATGAGTGTTTATTAATGTAACTCCTCTTGTCTGCAACAATAAATAGAAGTGCGGACAGATAATAATTACTAAATTATAATTAATAAACATTTCAAATGTCCTCATAGCTGCTTATAAATACATTATACTGTGTTATAGATCATTTATTACATGTTAATATACGGATTTACTGAGTTAAAGTAAAGTAAAAGAAACTGTAAACTCTAAATAGGATGAAGTTTAAACAGTAAAACGCTGTGATATCTGATAGCAGAACCTTTATTTATACAACATTTTAAAGGAATTTATTCAGAATAAAGTTTTTTTTTTAATATTACAGACTGTAAATTGCACAGAAACCTAAAGTCATTGTATTCAACTGTTTCTTTTGATAGTAAAAACTTATATGGTTAAAATATGGATTAAAAATCAACAGCACTAATATCCTTTTACTGTAATAGTAGAAAAGGTTCTACCACAGTTTGTTATATATAATAGAACAACAGTAGTAATGTAACTAATGTAACAGAGTATTCCACAAACTAAATATGCTCTTGACTTTGAAACTATGGACGACAAATGCAATCAGGGCCTCTTAATTTAAAAGAATCGCGCAACAAATCAAGCGAGCGTAGCGAAGGGGCGAGTGCCCGCCAACACAAGTGGCGAGCGATACAGCAGAACGGCAGCGTGACGGCCGGATAACAAAGCTAATTGCCATTGAATTAATAGAATAATGAGGACACATTTGCAGGCCGGCCACTTGAAAGTCATTTTTCCTCCATTTAAAAAAAAAACATGCAGCCTTTTTGTTGGTCTTAATCGACTCCACTCAAAGTTACGCTTCATCCGTCGGCGTCGCCATCAGGAAATCTGCATCAGCACACGCACGCACTCCGAGCTAATCAGGACCAATCAAGCCAATCATTAGCTCGCCAAGAGATAGAGCTGATGTGACTCAGCAGAAAAGACAAAGATAATCCGTCTGAGGCGACGAGACGGATGTGACCGACACCGCCTTGATATTTGTATTGATATTTTCCGACTTCCTGCAGTCTCGGGAATTACTTAAGTTTCATTCATCTGGGATTTGTAGTCAATTAAAAAGACTATCATGTCACCGTTTCATTTAAGCTCCCCTCTTCTCCTGTTTCCACGGAGACATTACCGTCGGAGACCAGGATATTAATCACTGAATTAATTATTACGGGCTGCCTTGAGGGAGCAGAAGGGGGTATTAACCCTTATTAAAGGAGGGAGAGGGAGAGAGGAAGATGTTCTGTTATAGCTGTGTGATGAAGAAAGGTAGAATTACACACAACTAGAAATAGACTCTAAAGTAGTAGAAGAGCAGAGGAAGATATCAGGAGGCTGGAAGGACCTTAAAATGTTTTGTTTTTAACTTTAGCACTCTAGAAGTCGCTTACAGATCGTCTGGTTTTTCACAAATATTACGTTATTATGTTATTCAGGTTCCAGACATCCGAAATCTTGCAGCATCCATAAAAAAATGGCTTCAAAAATGGCAGCAAGCACAGTTTGATTGTAGCTTTTGTTTGGTCGTTACAGTCGTCACCATGGCGGGTTTGTTGGAGCCAGCGGAGGTCACATACCGCGAGTTTCGACTCGTCCGTAGCAGGAAACAATGGCAGAAGCTTTGTCCGTTATATAAACTGTAAATGCTTGAAACACTCATACAAGGAAGCAAGAAAACATCAGAAGCTGCTCATATAAGGCAACTCAACACTGGACATTATATAAGTACAGCTTATGAAGATAATAATATAATCCTTCTGTAGTGGATGAAAGTTTTCACACACTGTTGTGTCCAGCCAGCACCGCGGCCCTCGCCCACCTCCCCTCTCCTCCAAAATACATCCCATTCAACCTTTTCGCCTCGTCACTCCCCTCCACGCTGTCTAATCCCCCACCACCACCACCACCCCCATATTGCCCTGTCAGGCTAAAACTGGAGTGGAAGCGCTGCCGAGCTCCGACGGCTCTGCGCTGATGGATCGGGGAAGAGGCCCATGGGATTAGCGGTGACAGGTGGAAATGCGGCGAGGGTAACCACAGAGAGGGGGTTTGAAATGTAGACTTTTCATTCTGATGCCGACATTGTTGCGCGGCTCTTTAAGTCCTTATCTGCAGTACACAGGCACAGATGTGGCGGCGGGTGGGGTGGGTGGGTATGGTGGCGGCTGGTGGTGGTGAAACAAAGCAAGTGTACTCCTTAAATGAGTGGCCTTAATCACAGACAGAGGCCCCACTATAGTCTCCTCTATAGGTTGCTTACGTGAGGCTGGTCTATAATTGCGAAGGCGCTCTAATGTACCTCGTGGATCCTCCATCTTGTGTGTTCCTCTGGTGTAGGGGGAGGCTGAAAGATACAGGCTGGTTTTGGTTCCTCTCCTAACATCTTACCAACTCTATTACAGCATCCATAAGGGCTTAAAAGCATTAACGATAAATCTTAAAACAACTATAGGACCCGAAACAATCCGTCTGCTGGAACTTTAAGCTTGACAAAGCCATTCAAACGACCAGGCCTTAAAAGGCTGGATGGAGGGGGGGGGACATACACTCAGCTGTACAAGCCCCTAGATTATCTTCTCCACCCTTTCTAACCAAAGTACACCGTGCTTACTTGGCAGCTGGGACCGATGCCGAGTTTTGAGCCTCGTAATTTGGACAAAAAGGGAAGAGAAGTCAACAGACGCGGTGGAAAGACAACACCTTTGGACAGTGTGTTCTCAGTGAATCACACTACAGAGAAACACACACACACACACACACACAGAAACTGAGGCGCAAAAGCCACAACAGACACCGAGACAAGCTAATTCCCTTACAAGCAGACAACACAGTGTACGCCAAGTCAGACAGTGCAGAACAATATGGCCGGAGGGGAGAAAGAAAGAGACAAGAAATCAATACAAGCAGAGGCACTCTCTCTCTCTCTCTCTTTAACAAACATACACACATAACAACACACAGCGCGAGCAGCAGACACACGAGACAGCAGCTAATAACACACTTAATACCTCTTTGTTATGCTTTATAACTACCATGCAAATACACCGACATACAGCAGGTTATGTGCAGGAACTTGTAGGATATATATCTCCAAAATAAACAAGTATTAAAGGAATAGTTGGGAAATGTGTGAATTTGCTTTCTTTATGAAAGTGAGATTAAAAGACTGATGTGTTTAGCATTGTTAGCATAAAGACTGGAAACAGGGGAAGCATCAAACCTGCGTGAAGTTAAAATAAAGATGCACCAACGTCTACACTAGCTCAAGAATTGGAACAACTATTAGGAGGGTTGCTATGGAAGTCAGAAGTCGCTTTACAAGTACAGTCCGTTAACCATTTGTGGTGAACTTTGTGGTTTTGAGTCCCAATTAGACGCCTGGTCTGGATTTTATAGAAAATCTTTGGATGTATAAAACCATTTAAAATTCACCTTGTCGCCCGCTTTTATCAATATGCGCATTTTACACATTGTTAGACAAACTATTTTATAGTATTTCACATCTTTTCTGAGGAAAGGTTTTGTGAAAAAAAGAATTAAAGGGCCTTACATCCCATACAGACGTCGGTCCCAAATAGAGGCAGGTTTAGTTCAGTGATTGAAGCAAAGAACAGCCTGGGCAAATATCTATAACTATTGGATGGATTATTGTCAATATCTTTACACTATACGTCTATACTTTGGTTTATGAGCAAATATCTGTAAAACAAACACTCGCTCAAAGCGCTGCTGTGCACACTCTCGTTTATCCAATAAACAGAAAACATATTCACAACATTTTTGGGAGTTAAGGGGCAATTAATGTGTTGGAACTATTTCTTGCCGAACAGTGACATACAGTAACAGTTTGAAGCCTCCTGAACGTAGCATAAATTAGCTTTAGAGGCCTTTATTTGAGCCTTGTACAGAGCCAGGCTAGCTGTTTCACCCTGCTTTCAGTCTTAATGCTAAGCTAAGCTAACAGTGTCCAGACTGCATGAGATTGGTATCGATCTCTCAGAAAGAAAGCTTGCAAATAGTCATATTATATAATCTTAACCAACACAGAATCACATAATTCAAAACTTAAATCAAATCTTAAATTAGTTTGACTGTTACTAAACTATAAGGTTTTCACATCATTAAAGTAAGTAAAATAAAGAGATTTAAATATATATATATCTTATATTTAATATATAAATATAAGAGATTATGGTGGAAATGTATCATATATAGCCTACATTATAATCCTAGTTCAATTTGAAATCCAACAATAATCCACTTTAGAGTCAACCAGAAAAGTCAAAATGTGCAAGATTTATATATTATATTCGTATTTCTTTGGTTTATGAAGTTGCAGCTTTGATGTGAAAGTCAGTTATAACTGAAGCTCAAGGAGACACTACACAGCTAAAAAATGACACATAATAACCAACAGCTGCCTTATTTTCCACCTCCTGTGCACACATTAGCTGAATTATAAAAACTTTTTTTTTTTTTTAGTGCCAATGACAATTAAACGTGATTGAACAACATACTAATTTAATTATTTTATTTTCACCGTCACAGACTTCCGCTTGTCACCGGCGGGTGTCAAGACTTGTCCAGTTTTACTTTGTGTCAATCAAACATGTCTGAAATAACAATGCGGGTCCTTAAGTGGATTGGCAGGCGAGGGATTTAAGCGCCCGTCCAGCCTGACGCAGACGATCCAATCGGACGTGATGGCATATAAGTGATTATAATTGGCCTAAAAAGTCATGTAATGTGACCCCAAGCCCGAGGACCGGAAAGCTAATAATGACTCTGCGAGACAAAAACATCCACTTGTACTGAAACTCTCTGACAGGAGTACATCTTACCTGGGGGAGATGTCGCAGCCCTGCTGCATGAAGGCGCCCAGGGAGAACCAGAGCGAGTTGAAGATACCAAACTCATTGGGGGGCTGGTCGCTTGGCTGACCGTCGGTGCCCTCTTCGGGCTCCTCGGTGTGCCATTCGTACGGGCTGAAGCGGCTGACCAGGAAGAGCACCACGCTCACGCCGATATAGGCGAACACGATGCACATCCAGATCGTGCCGTAGGCAACCGGTCAAGGAAAGGGAGAACACCCCTGGTTTGGACTTTTTTGGTGGGGCCTTTTTGATCTAATGATGGGAAAATCACAAGCCGACATGAAAAAGGGCTTGGAGAAATTCGATACCCTTTCCCGGAACCAACTGATTAAAGGGCACAGCGGATTTCCCGCTTTCCGTGGATGAAAAAAAAAGGGAGATTTTGAAATGGAGAAGTGGCTTCCTAAAATCCCGAAACGAACGGCGGATAAAATGAATGCAAATGATGGATCATCTCTCTCCGAGCTGGGGCGACAATCAAACATCACTTAGTCACAGATATGACACGCCGAAGGCCGAAAGCCAGCTAGCTCATCAGTACATAAAACAACAACAATTACCCCTTTTTTCTTTTTCTCCTCGGCTCGTGTCACTTTATCTGAATTTCTCCCTCGACTGAGCAAAATCTAGATCGAGTTGAGACAGCAGCTGAGAGCGATCGAGTTCAGAAAGAAATTTAAAAAGGAGATTCTGAGGGCCGTCTCCAAACGCTGAGAAGCTTAAGCCAGAAACTCAGAACTCGGAGAATCAGCGTCGGGGGGGGGGGATAAAATAA